ATGTTCATCAAAGAGCAACCTAGCAGAGGAGGATCTTAATAATCTGACGTACAAGATGATCAATTGTGTTGGTATCAGTCAGCTGTTTTCTCTGGCCATTTCTTCCTTGCCCAATTGGCTCCTGAACAAAGTGGTCATGGTGGCCGGGATGGAGGTTATGCACAGACTAAGCAACATAGGCTTCCATTCTTCAAGGCCAGTCTGGCTACAGTCACTGCTGAGGGCCCAATCTGCCAGTAGCAGATCCTAACATTGAGTCCCTGATATGACATAATTTCCTGGGGTTATTTATTAGCTGTCCACTTGATGACAAGTTGATTTTATTAGGCCACTTTCTTCATGGAAGGGCCAATAATTTTTTCTCACTGGAATAAACAATTACTCGTGATACGAATTTACTTTCCCTGCCTACAATGCTCTATGAAAACCAACATCAGTGTGCTTAGAAAATGCCTGATTCTCCATTATGGTGCTTCACGCAACATTGTTTCTGACCATTTTACAGCAAATGAATTATGACAACAGGCTCATGCTTATGGAATTCCCTAATTTTAACAGGTTTCTCATTAGCCTGAAGGAGATAGCTTGAAGACTCATTTATAGTGCTCACCAAATGACGTCTTAAGGAAATGGGTAATACCTTGGAGGATGTGGTATATGCTCTAAATTGGTGACCGCTATATGATGCTGTTTATTCCATAGCCAGGAATATATATGTTAGTGGTTACTTTCACTATTATGTCTAGATATTAAATAACGAAATTTTGCTTTCTTTTCCTGAAACTTTAAGTTCTGATGCTTCCTTCAAGGTCATTTTGTTCTCCTCATGTCAATGAACAAAAGGCAAAGTGAAGGGTTGTTATACTGGTTGGGGTGTTTAGTCCATACTGTCAAGGAGAAATTGAGTTACTACTAAAAATGGGGGACAAGAGGAGTACATTCGGAATGCAAGATCCTCTGTGGTGTTTTTTTATTACTCTCATGTCTTATGGTAAATGTTAATGGAAAACCATAACAAGTTGATACAGGTAGAACTGCTACTGGCCTAGACCCTGAAGGCACGCAATCTTCCTTTGAAGAAAAGAAAGTTGGGTCCTCCAACCAGGCAGGAAATCATGAACAGCAAAGATGCTTGATGAGAGCAAAGAGAATTATGGAACAAAGATTGGGAGAAGTTATAAGTACCAGCCACAATCACGGGTCCTATTGTGGAAATAAGCAATTAATATTGTTTTCTTATTTTGATATATTTATGTGCATGTTAGCGAACCCTTTTCTTTCTTTCTCTATTCCCCTACCATCTAACATAATATATATTAATAATGGTTAACTTTATCTCAGTATTTATGTTTTAGGTTATCAAAAGGGGTGTGTGTGACTTAGCTAGAAGAGAAATGAATCCCCAATGTTTGTTAAAATGACATACGGAATTTAATTTCTCATTTTGGAGAGTCATATTTTTTGTTGCATAACAATGTTTCCATCAAGCTAGGCAGAAGCAAAATTTTATTCATATATTTATTTGGAAGTTAAATATAGATAAAATATGTTTGCCTGGATGTCACCTTGACAAGGATGGACTCTAATTGTTTTATACTGTGTCAGCCTGGCTAAGCCAAAACTTTTCCCCCAAATCCCCTTCTCCTTTTGGCCTCAGATTAATGTTCACTAGAAGAAAAATTTGCATGAGTTTGAAAGATAGAAGTGAAACATAAACCATCACATAATGAAGGTTGGTGTAGGACACCAAACGCCACTGCAAGTCATGCAAATCGTCACTGAGCTACTGACTCATCTTTATGGTGTGGGGCAGCTGCCAACCTTGCAGCTCCCTCTGCTTCCACCAGATCTCCTTCAGCATCTCCTAACTCTGGGCTAGATATCTGTGCAGCTCCATGGTGAGGTCTTCAGCTTTTTCTGCTGGTCACCCGTGTCATTGAAATTGGAGGTAGTTTCAGTTTGCTTTGTGGGTACCAGTTTGTTCTTACTTTTTGCTGCCTCATTCTCCTAATTTTTTCCTGATTGTTGCCCCTCATAACCCACAGGAACTTCAAGTCCATCGCCATATGTAGAGGCCAGCACCTTCCATGAACTTTGTAAGGTCTAATTCCTATAATAACTCCCTTATTTCATATTACTCATGGTGGTTCTGCTTCTTTGATAGATTCCTGACTGAAACAGTGTACAAAACACAAATTCTACTAAAGAATAAGAAAGGAACTTCCCAGCTGTCATTGCTAATCTAGACCATGTAGTCGTATCATGATATCATGCTGGGAGTTGACCAATTCCTGAACTTTCTCAATTTCTATTATTTAGAAGTACACTTTTAAAGTGCCATAACAGCTGAGAGAGCTGTTGCAGTGAACATCTCTAGATTATGGGAGAATTATGTGGTCAGGCTTTCTACGCCTTCACTGAGACAGCAGTTGCTGACTTGGTAAGTCCAGACATCCAGGACGTGTCTGGCAAAGAGCATAGGCCTTCACATCTGCCATTTTCTGCTTCAGGGAACCCATAGTCCTATACTGTTTAGTTGGTTAAAAATATCCTGCTTTAGAAAGATATAGTGAGGAGGTGACCTTGTTGCTCTGTTCAAATGCTGTACCCCAAATAAGTTGTTTTCTATTTTAAAAGCCTAAAAATTGAGAATGTACTTTGAACAGTTCATGGTTGGTTTAGAGACTTCCTACAGGAGTAGCAGTGGGGTGCTTCTAGTGAATGAAATAAAAACCCAGGGGAAGTTTTTTTTAGACAGGAAAACTCTTATCTAAATGAAAATCACAAAGAAGGTCCAATTTTCCCCATGACACAAATATTAGTGCATAAGGCTTGGTATCTAGTCTATGACTCTGTATTTTGTGGTGATGGTAGGGAAGAATTATATCATGAATATCTTCTGTGCATTTGCTAAAGTATCTTTAAGAGTACTTTACGGCTCTTCAAATTGGTTTGAAACTTATGATCTTCATATTTGGGAACCCCTACCCATATCTTTAGCTACATAACTGAATTTTCATCCTGGAACACATAAGTCGCATTAAACACATATTTACTCCTGTAAAAGATATACATAAAAAATATTTGAGTTATTTAATAAATACATCTTCTAAAATTAAAGAGAGAGAGAGAGAAAAGAAGAAGAAAAGGAGGAGGAGGAAGAAGAAGGAAGGAGGGAGGGAGGGAAGGAAGGAAGGAAGGAAGACAGGAAGGAAGGAAAGAAGGACCCACAGTGCTTTGTTACACCTAGAATTAATGAAAGAAATACTGGTTTTACTGTCCTCAATTTAGTAATTGTACCTCATGTCTTGTCTTTTAAAGTTGCGTACCGAATGCAGGAAGGGAGAAGGGACTGCTCTCTCTGCCTCTTTCTTGTACAACCACCAAAGTTTATATTTCTGGAGTTCCTTGCCTACTATACAAACTCCGTTGCAGATGGAATGACATCTCATCTGGATTTCATTGTATTGTCCTAGAAGGAAGAAATTGGCTCATGGGGAACTGGAGCAAGTATTTGCTGTCAGAAAATAATTATCGGCTCTGCTTCAGAAATTTTATGTTTGCATTCAGAATAATATTTAAATTTCAGGTGTACATCATTATACTTCTATTTCTGCATAGATTACATCAGAAATTTATACAATGTTATAAACCAATGTTACTGCAATAAACAAAGAATTAAAAAAATTAATAATTTATGTACAATAAAATTCACCTATTTTAAGTGAAAAAAGAAGAATAATATTTAAAAATATAGATACTAAAAACAAGATCTTAATGAATGAAATACAACATGGGGACTATTTTTCTACATTATTACACAAATAAGGAAATATTTTTAAAATATCAAAACTAATAGAAATTCATTAGCAATCCTTAGTCTTGAGTTTCTCTGTACCAGTTATTTTGTCAAAAGACTTGGGGGAATATATGATCCATTGTCCATTTGATTAAAGAAACTAATCATAGTCCCTCCCTCAAAAATAATTCCAAGACCCACTGTAAGTCACAGAGCTCTGTGTTACTTGCCTACAGCCACCTTCTTTCTGGAGTCAGAAATCAGAAATACTTTGTATAAGTAGAATTTGATCAACCTCATGAAGACAAACCTACTTAAACAGAATGTGAATTTAGTATGCTATATACACAAAAACTAACATGTAATAAATGATGTCCTAAAACATGTTAAACCCACTAAAAATTTATTATTTTCTCTTTCTGCCTATAATTGTGATTATTGGTTTGGTATATTAACATAAATAAACTCATTTAATGGAAATTCCCTTAAATAGGGTAATTTTCATGGATTTCAAACATTTATTACAATAATTATGAGATACAGCTACAATTCAAACAAAACTTTAACAGTTATGCTCCACTGAATGTATGTCTCCCCCACCCCTGTTCCCCCCTACACACTAAAAACCCTATGGAATCAGAGGCATTTGTAGCTAAGGTAACTCAGTTTTCATAATTGAAAATCTAAGTAAATAGAGCTTACAATGTGGAGTGGTGAAACATGTATATAATATTGTACTTAATTTTTTGTGACACTATGCTTCTTTTTCTTTTAGTTTACAAAAGAAAGCAAAGGCATCAATAATGCCAAGTATTTAAAGCTGAATTCTGCAATATACATCAAGGTATTTTTATGACACCCAAGGGAGAAATCAGAACGTCTGGTCTCATCTGAGTTCAGTTTTAAGTTTCTCCATCAGTTTACTGTGTGCCCTTAGCAAAGTTTATTAACTTTATGGTTTTTCACCATCTGTAATGTGGGAATAAAGTATTTGATACTTAAAGCTCAATGACTCTGTGAAACAAAAACCAGGTCATATTTGTGGCATAACATCAAATCTTACAGGAAGAAAACACTGTTAATGTATGAGGTTTTATTATGTCTTTTCTCTCAAGACGGAGCCATGCTGAAATTTCTCCAGGCTAAAACAATTAAAGTGGATCTATAAAAGCTTGCCGTATTACCAAGATATACTTCTACACACCACCACAAGTATTTGTAGCCTGTGGATTATATTCATTGACAGATACTTTTTCCAGGGTAACACACGCAAATTGATTACCTTAAATAAAGTTTAAGATCATGATTTATTCCTGGAGTCACTTTAATAAGACACTTTGTACTTCAAACAGGAATACGGAAAGAAAATTCCCATTCTTTCCATTGACGGGGACATAGTTTTTGGTACTTAGAAAAGTAAGAGAAAAATATGATCATCTCATCTCTAAGAATAAAATGGAAAAATATATACATATATAATATATCAAAACTTTTCCACGCTCTTTAAATTTTTTTAAAAAGTATTATTAAAAGAATTCTGACTTTGTGTTCACATTACATGCCTTACAAAATGTTGTGTGGGAGAACTCAGCAGAAAGAAATTGCATAGATTCCATGAACAGGCTTACTGCATTTCTGAAGTGTGGCAGGTAATTGGAACCTTTAAAAAAACACCCTCCTCCATTTCCATTTCTGATTACCCAGTTGCCTTGAGAGTCACAGCATTGACATAGACAGAGGCAACATAACCAACATTCAGCTTGAAACAATAGCATCTGCCAACCCAGGGCATTTAATTTTATGCCCTCTTTTCACCTAAACTACTTTGAAAATTTGGCAAGCAATGAGCATCTGACTTGGACTGTTTCATATCCAGGAAGCATTGTTATAAAATTTAACTACACAGTATTTCCATGACCACCCTTTTCAATGACAAGCTCAAAATTAAATGCTTCAGCTCACAATCTCATATGGATACTATGACTGTATTAAACCCATTATTAGTGAACTTTCTGTTGTTGCCAGGTAATTTAATTCAAGGTATTTTCATTTCTATGAGGAAGCACCTACTATCTGCTGCCTCAAAAATAGATTGCTCAAAGTCAGAGGAATGGTTTGACCACTGTAGCTGTCTCTGTGGATACATGGATTAAAGGGTAACTAGGAGTCAACAAATGTCCATTGACCATCTCTGGTATGCAAAATACAGCTCTAGTCAGTACAGATAATAATAATAATAAGCACAGTCTTTTCCTTTAAGGAAAACTACTTTTTATAGAAAGATTTACATAATTAGTGTCTTATAATCTGATTTAGTCCTTACAGTAACTCATTGGATTGTGTACTATTCTTACCACCAATTTTCAGATGAACAAACTAATGTTTAGAAGTTATATAAACTTGGCAAGTTTACAAATTCTAAAGTGGCAGTGCTGAGACTTTAAGCCAGTTCTCTTTGATGCCAGGATCCACACCTCAGCTCTGTCAATAATGGCCCTCTGCATCTCCACACCAAGATTACAGGTGGGCCCCAATTTACAAATAAGTACATTTTCCAAAAGCTCCCCTTAGCTTCTTGGTTAGATCTCAGATTGCTTGAAGGGTAGGGCACAAAAGCTATTTTACCAATTGTGTTTTGGTACTGGTCAGATTAACTAGAGTAGCCAAACATAATTCTAAAAATTTATATGCCAGACAGGATCTGGCTTATACTGGGGCTTCTCACCTCATTCAATCCCTCTCCCTCACCCCTTACTGCCTTAATCCCAGCAGTGTGGCAATGTATTCCAAGAAAAAGCCAAAACCTCTGCAAGCTACAGCCAGCACTTCAGAAATAGGGTTCCTTTTGGGGACATCATTCTTCTTTAGAGAAATCAATCCCTGATATGGGAGAAATAAACTCTTGATCTCCCTGCCTCTTTCTTAGCAAAGAATTTGGTAAAGCTCAATTTCCATTAGTGAGCAGAAAGGAGTAAGCTTACATTTTGTTCACAAAGGAGGGTCACGTTAATTTTCAGCAAGGTCCATTTTTGTTAATTGTACCGCTGTAGAGTTTCTTTATGATTTTCTCAACATGACTCCTCCTCCCCACAGGAACAAGAAAGACATTTTCAGAACTTGAAAGGAAAGTTGAACAGTGAGAGGTCTGTATCTTCATTACTAGTTTCTGTAATGGGCTACATATTGGAGAAGAGGTTAACTTTAAGAGTTGGGCTTTAGGCCTTTAATGGCATCTTCTTTTTATTTTACTTATTTGTTTACTTAGGTTTTTATTTTTTTTAAGACTATCTTTTTAGAGCAGTTTTAAGTTTACAACAAAATTCAGAGTGAGGTAAAGAGATTTCCCATATATTCCTTGCCCCCATGGATGTATAATCACCCCTATTATCAGCATCATTTACCAGAGTGGTACTTTTTTTTTTTTTTTTTTTTTACTAAGAATGAACCTACATTGACACATAATAATCACCCAGAGTCCATAGATTACCTTAGGGTTCGCTCTTAGCATTGTACATTCTAAGTGTTCTGACAAATATATAATGACATATATCCATCCTTCTAATATCATACAGTCTTTTCATTCACATAAAAATCCTCTGAGCTCTGCCTATTCCTCTCTCCTTCCTCCCCCTTAACCCTGGCAACCACTGATATTTTCTGTCTCCATCATTTGCCTTTCCAGAGTGTCATTCATGTGGAATCATACAGTATGTAGCCTTTTCTGACTGGCTTCTTTTGCTTAGTAATATGCATTTAAGTTTCCTTTCATGGCTTGATATTTCATTTCTTTTTAGTGCTGAATAATATTCCGTTGCCTAGACATACCACAGCTTATCCATTCACCTACTGAAGGACATCTTGGTTGTTTCCAAGTTTTGTCAATTATGAATAAAGCTGGTACAAACATTTTTGCACTGGTTTTTGTGTGGACATAAGTTTACAGCTCCTTTGGGTAAATACTAAGGAGCGTGATTGCTGAATCACATGGTAAGAGTATGCTTAATGTTGAAAGAAACCGTCAAACTGTCTTCCAAAGTGGCTGTACCATTTCGCATCGCCACCAGCAATATGTGAGAGTTCCTGTTGCTCCACACCCTTGCCAGTGTTTGCTGCTGTCAGTGTTCCAGATTTTGACTATTCTAAGAGGAGTGTAGTGGCATCTCATTGTTGTTTTCATTTGTATTTCCCAGATGACATACAACGTGCAGCATCTTTTTCTATGCTTATTTGCCATCTTTAGATTTCTTTGGTGAACTGTCTGTTTAGGACTTTGGCCCATTTTTTATTCAGATTATTTGTTTTATTATTATTGAATTTTAAAGGTTCTTTGAATATTTTGGGTAGCAGTCCTTTATCAGATGTATCTTTTGCATATATTTTCTCCTAGTCTGAGGCTTGTCTTCAAATTATCTCGATATTGTCTTTTGCAGAACAGAAGTTTTTAATTTTAATAAAGACTAGGTTATCAATTATTTCTTTCTTGGATCTTGTCTTTGGCATTGTATCTAAAAAGTCATCACCATACCCAAAGTCATCTAGGTTTTCTCCTATGTTATCTTCTAAGCGTTTTAGAGTTTTGTGTTTTATATTTAGATGTATGATCCATTTTGAGGTATTTTTTTGTGAAGGGTGTAAAGTCTGTGTCTAGAATCACATTTTTGCATATCAATGTTCAGTTTTTCCAGCACCATTTGTTGAAGAAATGGTACCTTCTTCAGTGCAGACCCCACGCAATAGGTGGCAGCATCTCTGATGATAATGACTCATTCAGATGTTTAGGTCATACTTCACAGTGTTGGTAAAACGAGGAGAGACTGTATTAATTTTCATAGACTTAAAAACATAGCTTCAGGGGCTGACCCCGTGTCCTAGTGGTTAAGTTCAGCACGCTCCACTCTGGCAGCCCTGGTTTGGTTCCCCGGCACAGACATATACCACTCATTGGCAGCCATGCTATGGCGGCAGCCCATACACAAAATAGAGGAAGATTGGCACAGATGTTAGATCAGGGCAAATCTTCCTCAAGCAAAAAGAGGGAGATTGGCAACAGACGTTGGCTCAGGATGAATATTCCTCAGCAATAAAACAAAACAAAACAAAAAACATAGCTTCAATAACATATGTGCAGTGAATGAACTATTCTATTTTGATTTTTGCACTAAGGCAGACTAGCTCATAAGTAAAATAACACTGTGAATAACTTTCCAAAGCAGAAAGGAAAAAAAAAATCCTTGTATGATTTATATTACTCTGATCACGAAACTAGCTGTGCACCTTTCAATTCTTTTTTCTCTTTTTTTGAAAATTGCAAAATGTAAACCTATCGTGGAGAAATATTTCTAACCCCTTAAGGTACATAATAAATTGAACAGCCATGGAACTTATCCTCAGAGACTTATGACTTTTGGTTTTCTCTGTCGTGGTGAGCTATGTGAGTTATAAAGCTCACACAACAGAGATAAACTCAATTAGCCCATTGTTACAAAAATCAGATTTTCTCTTCAGTGTCACAAAGGTGAGCCCTGCAACTATCAATTCACTAAGTAGCCAAGTAAGGCATTTTTTTACTTTAATATTCATTTTTTTGTGTCAAGGTTATTTTGTCTTCTAATTTATAATATTTATGAATATAAAGCTTCTGGATTCTTCTTCCAAGGTCATTTCTGTAAGAAGCAAATAAGAAGAGTACTTTGTCATGTCATCTGCTGGCTATTTATAAGCCTGTTGTCATGCGTTCAAAAAAGATAAGAAGAATTGCTACTTGGGTCCTTTCATCCTGAACTGGCAATTTCTTTAATTGTTTCCAAATTTATTAAGCTTTTCTCTAATTTTATAGAGAGAGTTTCATTATATATTTTTCATTTTTTCCTCAAAATTTTCCCTTCGCAAGGCAGTGAATTTCGCCAACTCATAGTTTATTATGAATTTCTACATCAGGCAATTTCTCTGATTTACTATTCTTAAAGTTTTGTTTAATGTCCTCCTAAGGATAACTGTATGCCTATGGTTTCATATACTCCATCATAAAAAAGTTATGGAAGAATTCAGATGATAAAAGAATTCAGATGAAAACTGTTACAGTAGAGGAGCAGTTTTCTAACATCTGATCCGTTTGGAAACCTTAGTTGTACTTCTTTCTGCCCTGGTTCCTCTTCCTAAAAGTGATGCCACTTGAAGGGAGAAATCTCAACTGAAAAGGAAGGAGAGGATAACAAGTGTCAGAGCAGACACAAAGGAAATGATAATCTAAAGAGCACTAGTAGCTTGACTTGGTCTCAGAGAAACAATGAAACTGTTTCTAGTCCACGGATAGAAGATCAGGCCTTGTAAATTTGGCTGACCCACACTTTGCTCCAGAAAAGAAGTTCGATGGTATTATGTAAACCTGCTCTTATTCCTCAGATACCTTTAGCTCCCAGAGGGATGATAGCATGCCTTCTGGTTCTAATCTTATTGAAATAACGTATAACTGATGATAATGTGAGTAATATTTTCCCATTTTAGAGTATCCTAAATCACCTCACCTTAAAAAAAAGAAAACACCACCTTTAAACAAAAGAAGACATTTTGTGTATGCACAATGCCTAAAAACTTGTAGGGCTGTAAAAAATATTCATGCTGTTTTCTATAATAGCTCTGTCCAATAAAAATACTATGTGTCACATATATACTTTCAACTTTTCTAGGAGCCACATTAAAAATAAAAAGAAGCAGATGAACTTAATTTTAATAATACGTTGTATTTAATCCAATATCTCCAAAATATTATCACATGAATAATCAATATAAAATTTTTAGTGAGATATTTTACATTTTTTGGTGCTAAGCCTTCATGTTTAAACATTGTACACTGAGAGCACATCTTAATTTGGACTAACGACATTTCGAGGGTGTAATAGCCATATGTGACTAGTGGCTGCCATATTGGGCAGTGAAGTTCTGTAACAAATAACTACTTATTGAAAAGCTTTTAAAATGAATGCATCAATGAAGAATGAGAGTATAAGAATATGAGGTCACAGTATTCAAAACACATAAACTTGAGAAAGATGGTGAGAATGATAAAGGAATTTCCCTAAGTTCTGTACCAGAAGGAGTCTTAAACCAGGAAATAGGAGTTATAAGTTTTCATGACACTTCTGTTCCTAACTCATCGTATGACTGGTTAAATAAGTGAAACTTTCTAGGTCTTTCCCCCAAAACCAGGAGGTTAGGCTCAATGATATCTTTGGCTCTTTCCAAAGTTAATATAATGATTCTTTGGTCAATCTCTAGAAATTCTCTCTGTAGAAATTCTAACAAGAAAACCAAGCCATCCTCACATTTGGCCAACATCACAGCCAAGGTCTGTACAATGCAAAGGTCATCAGTATCTCTTCCAGGTGGCCTCACAGGGTAGTAATAATAATCTTGGTAAATCTTGATAAATCATCACCTATGATCTATTCTTTAGCTTTTCACGCACAGATACTGCATTTTATCAGTACAACTACAACGGATCTTTTCAAAGCACTCGCACATTTAACAAGTTGAAATGACATATATAAAATCAGATTAATTGATTAACATTGATACTTATAAGAGGAACCAGGTTACTGAAGTGTGCATGGGACTCATTCTCTTCCCATGTATTAACTTAAGAATGCAAATGTGTCCATTTAAATTAAAAAGCAAATATCACATACTCAAAAAGCCCACATGACCTGGCACGGTGCCCATGAAAATATACCTTTCAGATCTCCGATTTAGGAAACCATAATTGACTGATGACCCTAGTTGCCGTCCTCTGGTTCCACCATCTAGTTCACACCAAGGTCACTTTAAGCAGTCATTGAATCAGTGTGGAGGATACTAGGGCAAGTTCCATGAGATGAAGGACTCCTCTGACAGACAACTTTGGCTCCAGGACTCCTCATTAGACTCACCAAAACTTTCTTAGAACTACATAACCGTTGAAGAATTTTCCTACTAATCTTCCTTGCCTCTCTCTTTCACAAGGGTCACACCTACATTATATGGTTGTCCAGTACTGTTTTGATCATCATCTTGTTTGCAAATGTATTTAATCACATTTCAGTTTAGTCCTACAGATTAAAGTGTTTTAAGTGAATTTGCATATTTCTGTTCTAATCAATTATGTATTGTAGATCATAACATTTCCAAGTTCTTCTGAAGAGTTTACTGTGTTCCCCAATTAGTAACAAAAAAAAGACACCAAAAGATGTGATATAAATAACTAGTCGTTTTATTATTCTTCAAAATTAAAAATTCCTAAGCATCCTTGTCCAGAATATTGTATTATAAATCTATTAAACATTAATTTATTATTTGAAAATTTTGTTGTCAGATTTAAATAAGTATGCGCGTTAAGTACACAACCTGCAATGCAGCAACATTGGAATGAATTAAAATGAAAAATATAATGTCCTGATTCTGAGAGACAATAATCTTTTTAATATAGTGTACCAGTTAGAAAGTGTCTACATATTACTTTTAATTCTGCTTATAGTTTTTTTTTTTTTAATTTTTTGTTTATTGCAGTAACATTGGTTTAAAACATTGTAAAAATTTCAGGTGTACATCATTGTACTTCTATTTCTGCATAGATTACATCATATTCACCACCAAAATACTAATTACAACCCAT